ATAGGAATATATTACATATCATATTACTAGAATATTATATATTCATCAAATAAAATTTCCATTTACAATAAAATGGAAAATTTATATACTATATTACATCTGTATAAATTATAGTGTTATATCTCATGATTAAACATTTTTAATTTTCTATTAAAAATATCATCTTATAACATTTAGTATGATATAAATTATTAAATATTTTTTTGTAAATATTATTAATACAGTAAATAAATTACATATTTTCAATGATCATCATCCTATTTAAGGATGATGATTATTATTATCATTTTCTATAAACAGAAACATGCATGTTGTTTAACACCATTATCACAGCGATTCCATCGTACAGTTAAGATAAATTTAATAAGTGCATTAAGGCATGACCTTGAACTGACCTCGAGGCAAAAACTGCCCTGAGTCATAACTGAAATATGCACCTTGCAAGATAACTTGCATTCATTAAACTCTAGTTAACATTCAATGATCCCTGAGGAATTCCTTCGACGCTAATTACCAAAGTCATCAGATTCATAATTAAAATAATGAAATAATATAAATTTCAGATAAAGTAACTGTCATTTCGTACATTTAAATTATTGCACTTTAATGTATTGTAATTAGCACAGAAAAATAAAAACGAAATTTTTAGCTCAAGGTCAACCCAAGGTCACGTGAGTAACTTTTGTCTTTGAGAATATTTTTCTCGAGAAATATTCATTGTTTGTAGTGTTATTGTGTTATATAAAATTTAATATTGAATTTTTAATTTTACTGTTTAAATAATCAAATTAATTTGATTTAATTAACCGCTACAGCAGGGTATAATTAAAAATAATATTTTCCTCGAGAAATATTCATTGTTAGTAGTGTTGATAGGTTATATAAAATTTAATATTGAATTTTTAATTTTACTGTTTAATTAATTAAATTCATTTAATTTAATTAATAGCTACAGCTGGGTGAAAATAAAAATAATATTTTCCTGAATAAATATTCATTATTCTTGCAGTTCTATTTTATGCATTATGCAAAATTTAATATTGAGTTTTAAATTTTACCCTTGGAACCTTTTATTAAAAATTTCTTTTTTGTTATTAAAAATACTAAACAAATTTTATTTGCAAAATTATAGTTACATAGCACCCTTTTATTTACAATTTCTTTTTTATTATTAAAAATATTAAACACGTTGATAGTGGTCCAACTAAATTTTCTCAGATGTCAAATCGAGAGGTTTTCGACCTGATTAAAAACTATAAACGTGAGAGTATAAAAAAGTTCGCACACTTACGAATGCAGGGGGCAGAGCAGAAGTAGCGTATTATGTCCATTCTCACATTATTTTCCAGGCTGGATGGTTACTACGGCGGAGGAAGTGTAACCGTTTTAATGCTCGGAGAATAGATATTTTTCTTGAACTTGTTTAGAGAACGAATGCTAGTTTTGTTGTATTGAGACAATAGTATGAGTTACTGAATACTATTTATCCTAAAGATGTTGAAAAACACCTGAAATTTGAACTTAACTTGTTTGAAAATTGATTGATTAATTAATTATTAAATATTTATTAATAAAGCAATAAATATAGATAAATTATAAAATATTTGTTAATTAATCAATAAGCATTGAGTAATTATTAAATATTTGTTAATTAATCACTAAGCATTGAGTAATTATAAAATATTTGATAATTAATCACTAAGCATTGATTAATTATTAAATACTTGTTAATTAATCACTAAACATTGAGTAATTATTAAAT